GGAGACACTTAGATAAGTGCTCCCAGCCAGCAGCCCAGCGGGACCCTCTGGGAGCTCCCTGCCTGCTGCAGCCCCAGGCCACTCAAAGTATCCAGCTGCTGGGGCCATGTGCCACTTTGCACAATGCATCCCGTGGGCGGGGAGAGGACTTTGTGCACTGCCCGAGCCCCAGCACAACCATCACAGATCCCATTGACCAGTAAACACACACCTAAGCATTGGCAGCTGTCTTAGACGGACTCAGGAGTGTGCTTATTGGCTAGGAACGAATATGCAACACCATTCTCCTGCCTTGCTGATGCTGAATATAGATGCCCTGCTCATGGTATCAGCCAGCATCAGTAGCCATCCAGGCCAATAGTTGATCTGCTCCTGATAGTGCTGAAGGTGCATCAATGTGAGCTGCAATCTGTAGCACTAGGGCGGGGCTTTGTTATGATTGTCTGCATGGGTTGGGTGGCTTGAGGTGTATTACAGGACAAGGACTTCCTGTGTCACATGTTTCAGCATGTCAAATGCTCACTGTTGGTGACCTGCCCAGTCCCTCTCAACATCCTGCCTTGTGAGATGACATATGGTTGTTACTTCAACCAGGGGTGTGTCAGAGACCCACAACTGAACCCAGCCCCCATTCATTGCCCTCAGCTGATTGAGCTAATGAGTGTGGCTTCCAGCAGGCACATTCTTAAATCCTGCAGCAGTGCTAGATCTGCATGCACAATAGGGTTCCACACCGGCAGCTGTGTTTCTGGCACAGCTTCCCGACCCTGGATTCCTCCCCTGGCTCCTGCCTCTCTTCGGCTGATACTCCGGCTCTGATTCTTAGCTCCTGATTCCTGGCTCTCAGCTCCAGCTCACTCCCTGGACTTTGTACTTTTCTTTTGCCTGCTCCTGCTTCTGCTTCCCCCCCCCCCCCGGAAGGATCATGGAACCCTGGCCACCAGCTCTCCTATACTGTTGTCCCACTGCATATACTTCTGGGGGTATTGTGTCTCCTAGGGCTTCGGTTTTATCTCTGAAGGCTTCTGCTGCACATCCCATGTCTAGGCCCCTTACTCCATTCATATGAAGAAGTGGCTTGTGCCCACGAAAGCTCAAGCTTATGATACTATCTACATGTTTTGTTGGTCTACACTGCTCGCTATTTCGGGATACCGGAGTATCCCAAAATAGCTATCCCATGTCTTCACAGCAAGCCCGTTATTTTGGGCCCACTATTCCGACGTCCCTGTAAACCTCATTTTATGAGGAGTAAGGGACGTTTCAGAATAGCTCTTCATTCTGAAATTTGGCACTGTGTAACGAAATACGCTATTTCAAAATAGCATCGCAATAAGATTCGCAATTTGCATAGCTCAAATTGCGTATCTTATTTTGAGTGACAGTGCTGTGTAGGTGATTCAGAAGTATTTGTTGTTTTTTAAGTTTTGCCTAATGTGAGATCACCTTCCTGGAGTGTCTGCTCTTGCAGATGGTGATTCCAAATGCCATAGGAATATCCTGCCCTGATTCCAGGAGCCCATCAAGTCCCTAAAATTGCACAAAGCAGACAGAGTGCATCAGACAGTAACACAGGTCTACAGTCCCCTTTGGACTGATTGCTAGTGAGATCCTGCATTGCTTGCTCCACAGAGTATCATTCTGCTTTGGTGAGCAATAGGTCCCAGGGCTCCCAGGACTGCTGTGAGGCTAGAGGCAATGGTGAGCTTTGAAGTGGTGCAGATCTCTCTGCTGTGCCCCCCAGTGAGATAGAATAGCAGTTTTACTTTCCACTTATTGTCGTCCTCTGCATGGCCAGGTCTGTGCACAGCTCCCACTCCTCCTTTGCCCAGGTCCATTGCCAAGCTGGGTTAGTATTCACAAAACCCAGGCCCCTGGTGGGTTTCACATCAAGTCCATGACTCATGCTGCCAGCAGCTGCATTGCAGAGAACTCAGCTCGGATGCTGCTATCATGTTTCATTAGCAAAGAGTGAAGCTAAATGCAGGTTAAACAGAACAAGTGAAACTTTATTAACCCCAGAGCACTGCTGTGTCCATGGGATGACATTGCTTCCAGCCTAATTCCTCATGTTTCCCATTCCCCTGGCAGCTTGTCAAGAATAGTCGCTCCTGGAAACACTGGCCCTCTGACTCCAGTTTGTGGGCAGTGGATAGCATAGACTGGGGGAGGCAATGCCTCCCCAAACAACCAGTCATGCACTCCCACAGAACCCCGCTCCTGCTTCCCACCTGCACTGTGTACAGCAGTGCAGCGGCTCAGGATGGGGTGGGGTTGTTTGCCGTCCTGGTGCTCCAGTGTTGGGCAAGAAAAAACGTGGGGCTGCAGGAGGGGGGCTCTGGGCTCCAGAGGCTGGGAGTGTGTGGAAGAGGTGAGGCCGGGGGCTAGCATCCCCCAGCCTGTGGTTCATGTGCCGCCCATCCTCCAACTCGCTGATCATGATATACCCTGTATTGCCAGGTTTGCATCCCCGTGACTTTGGGGTCTGCTCAGTTATTAGGGTTACTCTTCTGGGAGGGGGTGGGTATCAATAATTCTATCAATGTGCTGCTTGTGCCACTTATATTCTCATATGGAGAGAAAGGGAGTAAAAGAGACAATCAGCTTAACTTAACCATGAAAGCTTCAGGGGGTAGCCGAGTTAATCTGTAACTGGAAAAACTTAAACACCAAATAGTCTTGCACCTTAAAGACTAACAAAACACGTATTTGGTATCATGACCTTTCGTGGGCACAGCCCATTTCTTCAGATAAGCGGAGTTATTGTGCCCACGAAAGCTCATGATACCAAATACATGTTTTGTTAGTCTTTAAGGTGCTGCAAGACTATTTGTTGCTTTTTTTAAGTTTAACCATGAAAGTTATTCATGTCCAAGTAGCAGGGCCGGCTCTTAGTTTTTTGCCACCCCGATCAAAAAAATGTTTGACCACCCCCCTCTTTTTTTGTTGGCTTTTACACATGTTTGCACTTTGCAATTTTTTTTGTTTTCATTTTCGTTTTTGTCCCAGCATTTTTGCCCTATAAATAGCAAATATAATTTTAATTTTTTTTTCCATAAAGGCAAAGGTGCTTCAAGTAAACTCCCCCTCCCCTTTCACTCGCTTCTGGGTCACAACAGCCTTTTCCCTGCCCTGTCCAGCCCCTCCCTATGGACAAGCACCCCTCATTCCCGACCCACAGGGGAAACAGGGTGCAGGGACAGCACAGAGCCTGAGGGGTGCAGAGAACAGTGGGGAAGGCGGGAGAGGATGGGTGGTGTGGGGAACAGGAGGCACAGAGCCAGAGGAACGCAGAGATTGGGGGGCAGAGAGGGAGCAGTGTGCAGGGTGCGGTGGAGGCATGGGGAATGGGACACGGGGAACGGGAGGAGCAGAGGGACAATGCAGGGAACGGGCAGCACAGAGCTGGGGGGGCAGGGATCATGGGGAGCAGGGTGCAAGACCAGGGCAGAGCCAGAGGGAGAGCAGGGGATCCGGGGTGGAGGGGCGGTGTGGGGAAGGAGCAGCAGGAGCCAGATGGGGCGCGGGATGGGCGCAGCGAGCCGGGTGGTCGGCTTGAAGCGGTTTCTTGCCGGTGAGGGGGCTGGGGCCGTGGCAGGACTGGAGCTGGTGGGGTTCCATAAGTTTGGAAAGGCCAGGTTTAGGTCCCAGTGTGGACGGGCTGGCGAATGTGTGGGTATAGCCTGTCCAACCCTTTCAATCCTGGGGAGCTGCACTCTGCAGCCAGAGCTGAGCTCCCGGAGCCCTTTAAAATTGGCGGGGCCGGGCATTGCTGGGGGCAGCTGCTTACCTGGAAATGCCACCCCTGGAAATGTGCCACCCCAAGCATGTGCTTGATTTGCTGGTGCCTAGAGCCTGCCCTGCCAAATAGTAATCATACAAGGAGAGCCAAACAAAACGTTTACAATATTAAATCTAACTTAAATTTTATTACAAAAGTTAGGGCTAGCAAACCATAACTGATCACATAAGGCAGGGTTAGGAGGCTATTCCTAGAGTGAGAGAGGTCACTGCTTGGTGAAGCTCACACTGATCGGGGTTCCCAGGTGATGATGGTAGGTAGGCAGAGCAGAGCCCCCAGCATGATCAGTCAGTAGAAGATGAATTCCCAATGGAACTGATGCAGAATTTAGATCCAGGCATCAAAGCCCTTTACCTGAGCATGGGTAGGGGAAAACACTAGATTTGTTTGTTGGTAAATAGATTGTTCCAAGGAGTATTCCAAAGTTGTTTTGTTTAGGCTAGACAATAGGAAATGCTTATTCCTGGCCATGGGCAGAGCTCATATAGGTGGAGTTCATTCCTAGCTGTTCCTTCCATGAAGCTGATAATGCAATTAGGCAGTTTCAGTATTTTGGCTCCCAGTAGACGATTTATTACTAGAATTGGTCTGATAATTACTGATCTGGGTGTGGGCAGGCCTGGGTTCATTAGTATCTGGAACAGAGGTTTCTCATCAGGTAATGCTTTCCTATTTTCTGTGTCCCAGAGTTTAGTGTGGTTCTTGCCTTGGAACTGCTGTTCTCCATTTTGCATGCTGATAGCAATGCTTTCCTGTCTCATCTTTTTTTATGTAAATGGAGGGAGGAGTTTCCAGAGGGGGTATGAGGTGTTCCCCTGACTTTTCATTGCTTTTCATAAGTTTTTCTTCTGATCAGCTTTGTTTCAAGCAGAGGCTGGGGAGGGAGAGGTCTTTCATGAATCAGACTATGCCCTGGTTCCCAAGAATACAGAGCTGGTGGAGAACACATGTGCCATCTATTTCAGAACCCTAGTCTCAAAGTGATTCTAATGGCTGCTGTGATAACCAAGGGCACCATTTCAGGTGGTAGTGAGGCAACCCGTGCCATGATGGCAGGGCAGGTAGAGAATGAAAGCATGGGGGCGGGGGGTGGGCTGAAGACAGAAGCTTCAGCAGTGTTACTGAGCATGCTCAGCACAACCAAGTGGGGAGGGGGAGAATCAGCCCCTTCCATCTTCATCTCTATCCAGGGGCTACCAAGGCACTGGAAAACTCTACTTTTTTTGGCAGTCAACTTAGCAGTTAGCTGACATGAGCACTTGAGCACTGTATCCAATTCCTATACAAAAGAAAGAAAATTAAATAAATATTAGACCCACTCAGCTCTAACACTAACATTCTCACATCTTGTGGCAAGTCACTTAAGGGACACTGGTTAGCCTTAAAATTGTAATGTATATTCTTTCTTTGTTACAAGCTCCATGGAGAGAGAGAGGCCCCATCAGGACTCCTGGGCTCTATCTCAGCTCTGGAAGAGGAATGGGGTCTAGTGGGTCACATCAAGGGGGCAGATACATTTCAGCTCTATATATGAACATCAGAATGGCCATACTGGGTCAGACCAAAGGTCCTTCTAGCAATAGTCTGTCTTCCAACAGTGGCCAATGCCAGGTGCTTCAGAAGGAATAAATAGAAGAGGCAATCTTCATGATCCATTCCCAGCTTTTGGCAAACAGAAGGTAGGAACACCATTCCTACCCATCCTGGCTAAAGTAATAGCCATTGATGGACCTATCCTCCTTGAACTTATTTTGTTCTTATTGGTACCCTGTTACAGTTTGGGCCTTTCCACTATCTCCTGGCAAAGAGTGCCACACATTATTTGGTTTGTTTTAAATCTGCTGCCTATAAATGTAATTGGCTCAGCTTCTTGTGTTGTGTTAATGAAGGAATAAATAACATTTCCTTATTCTATTTTCCCACACCTTTCATGATTTTCTAGGCATCGAACATATTCCCTCACTGTTTAATCATTTCTTTTCCAAGCAGAAAAGTCCCAGTCTTGTTAATCTCTCCTGGTATGGAAGCTGCTCCTTACCCCAATCATTTCTGTTGCCTTTTCTGTACCTTTTTCAAATACAATATATCTTTTTTTTAGATGGGTTGACCAGAGCTGCATACAATATTCAAGATTTGGGCATACAATGACTTTATGTAGAGGCAATATAGTATTTGGTCTTATTATATATTCCTTTCCTAATGATTCCCAATATTCTGTTAGCTCTTTAGTTTTCAGACTGCCTCTGCACATTGAGCAGATGTTTTCAGGAAACTATCCACAATGATTCCAAGATCTCTTTCTTGAGTAGTAACAGCTATTTTTTAATCTATAATTAGGATTATATTTTTCCATTGCTTTGCATTTACCAACAGTGAATCCATCTGCCTTTGTGTTGCCCAGTCACCCAGTTTTGTGAAATCCTTTTGTAGCTCTTTGCATTCAGCTTTGGATTAGCCCCTGTTCCTCCTTTTTTCAAGAACATTTGTAAGTTTAATGCAGTATTCCAAATGCAAATCCCAGCAGCACAACACTCATTCCTACTTTTCCCCTCTTATCTTTTAAGTGGCTTACCTAGCAATGTTTTCATGATGCTCTAATGATCCTTCAATTACTGGAATTCCCAGTCTTTTGTTATTCTTAATCGTCCTGCCTTCATCTTTTTATAACAAACTCCTTGTCCCAAAGGCACAGCTGCAAGCAGCTCAAACTCTGGTACATTTATGAACTGACTCCGGAGTCAGGGCATGCAGCTTTAATCAGACCGCAAGGATGAAAACCAGGTGGTTCAAACTAAGGAAGGGGGGCTACAGTCCTCCCTAAATCCCCACAAATGGCCCCCTTGGTGCTAACCATAATGTGCCTAGATACTATGGGGACGGGTGGCAGTACAAAACTCTAAGATAGATAACTCTGAATGTCATAACATTTGTGTTTTTGAGATCTTAACCTTCAGGGCACATTAAGAGAATGTTTTGCTTTCGGTTCTGACAAGTGCACAATGAAATATAAAAGCAAATGATCACTATGGCAGCTGAGTATGATTCTCTTTGCCTCCTTACATACTGTGATATAAGACCAAATGTTCCCTACAAGGGAAATTTGTAGAAATAGATTGAGTTATTTGTGCTCTTCCCAGGAGAGAGGCAAACAGTGTACGGTAAAAGAATTAAAACTGTTTTAATGGTCTTCTTCAGCTGATGGTAGGACAGATCAAATGCATTTTGTTGCAGCATGAAGCACTATTGATCAGAGCAGGCAGCCCACACAGTATCCTAGTAAAATAACATGTGTTTATGCATTTAAGGAAGGGAAAGAACACAAGGAATATTTGGAATCATGCCAAAACACCAGCTTTGCCAGTTGATCAAGGGAAAAGATCTAACTATGTCTTGAGAAGACAACAGTAGAAACAAGGAATGAGTGGAGAAAAAGTCATTCCATGGGCTTGAAAAGATAAAGCATATATGTAGCAGGGGCACAAATTCCTTAAAAAAATAACACGTACTATGAAGCCCTGGGCCATAGAATGTCTAGCTTCAAAAACAAAACAAAAAGCCTACCTGTTTCTAGACCTTATAGTTGTGAAGAAACTTTTCCAGACATGAACCAAGTACAAAGAGACATGGTTATGTAAACAGCTGCAAGTCACACAGACTTCTCCAAGCAATAGTTCTGAGCGAGGTGTGGACTGTTTCATACATCTCCATGGAATGTTGGCTAATCCTAAAATGATATCAGTGTCAACATTGATTACCATTTCACTGCTGATAGCTGTAGCAGAAATATCCAATCGATATGTTTCTTCCACAGTCCTAAAAAGCCTCCCATATCTTCCCAAATGCCAAAAGCTCCAGCTGTCCCCCTTCCTGGCTGCTAGAACCTTATTCTTCTCCCTGGACAATTTCCATGAGGTAGTCATGTGTTTTCCCTAAAATTCCAGGACATAATCAATTTAAATATTTAGGAGAAGTGTAAAATTAAATATACTCTCAAGCACCAGGAATGCTGTACTATGAGCGTTACTTATTTTCAGATTTAATTAATTAAAGCTTCCTCCATTCGGTAAATTTATCTAAAGCTGCCACCGGATTTCCAGTCTGCTGCGCTGGAATACCACAGAATCCAGCTTCCTTGTTGCAGAATGTAGGTGAATCACATCATAAGAGTACAGCAGTCTTGATGAGTTGTTTAAAATTTTACTGCATTTATTGATAGGTTGAAAATATACAGGCGTACAAGTGCTGTATTCTTTGCACATCCAGCATTCCCGCTCTCATTACTCGGAGGGTTGTGTGTACAATCTGGCCCATTATATGCACCACAAAAAGCCCTGTCCTCAGGCAGTGACTCTCACTGCTCAATTAAAAGTGGTCATGCTGTATACAGTACATGGGTTTTGATTCTGAATCTGAACTTGTTCTAAGGTCAGGGATATTTGTATATAGGATTTTGGTGTTGCTCTATTTCTCTCTTAGTCTGCTCTTAGCCATTGGTATAATTGGCTGGCCTAATGCTCTAAGGCAGTGAGTTCCAAATCCCTTGACATACAACTGACAAACACTCTCATTACCAGCCAGCATCAGTCTGCATTTATCTCTCATTAGAGCTTTTCATTTTTGATACAAACATTTTGCTTGGAAAACATTTCTCAGAATTGTTTTTTATCTGATTTACTCCCCTGCAATCTGCAGGGTGGTGCTTTGGCGCAGCTTTGGCACAATGTTGCGCTAGTTCTTTTTGCCACAGGACCCTGCCTAATTCAGTGTATTAAGTGGATATGCACTGGGAGAGGAGCAGGTTTTCGGAGTGAAGCGAGGTGCAAGAAGCCTGCTTCATTTATTGTAGGAGTAAGAGAAACAAGGTACTGCAGAAAGAGAGGATGGATCTCTTGGTTAAGGTATTTGAATGTTGTTCTGGGAAACTGGATTTTATCCTTGCCTTTGCCATTGAATTCATGTGACGTTGGCAAATCACCTAAGCCAGATTTCTCACAGCTGGTTACTAATTGTGTGTTCCTTTTTTTCTAGGTGCCTAGCTTGATACTCTGTGGTCTGGTCTGTAGAAGTGCTGAGTGCTCCTAGTGGGAAAAGAGGTCAGTGAGATCTGTATCTTGAACATAAGAAGTCAGGGGTGGCCAACCCATTTAACAAAGAGAGCCAAAACAGCGGCAGAAAAAATTCAAAGAGATGCACTAGAACTGTCAAGCAAAAAAAGAAAAAAAACCAAACCAGACCAGAATTGTCGAGCAAAAACAAAAAAAGGAAATTGCCACTTTAAGACAGCTGCCATCTTGGGGGCCATTTGAAAACCCCACAGCTCCGACCCGGTAAGCCAGGGCCAGCTTTAGGAAGTGCGGGGCCCAATTTGAACAATTTCGATTAGATCCCACGGCAATTTTGGTTAGCAAAAAAACCCTGTGCTAAACTCTCACCTCCTGTGTATAATTTTTGGTGGTGCCCCATTAGCCACACCCCCTGACCCCCGTTAACCACCCAGGCCTCTGGAGGTAACACACTCGGGGCAAGATGGACACATGACCAGAAGTAAAAGGTGTCATGTCACCCCTCTCGAAGGACTTTTCCCACCATCCTCCTACCAACAGGGATTAGTTTGGCCCCCACCAAACCCCCCTTATGCAACTATCCTGACAATTGCATTAACCCAATGTGTGTGACATTAACTCGGGGGCAGAGAGACTGGGGGAAGTGTTCCCTCTAAGGCTACATCTACACTCGGAGCTTCTTGTGCAAGTACAGCTGTTCTTGCACAAGAACCCACAGAGTATCCACACGGTCCACATACG